TTTGACTATTTTTCTTTCGCTTGAAATGTGAGAGAGATTGAATATTTTCTCACTTATAGACTATTTTCTGAATTTGTGAGTTAACATATGGTATCAAGAGTCATGTTCTAAGCTGAGAAAAAAAATTACTAGGAAGGAAAGAAGTAACAGACTTCAATCATGCTAGATAGCAACTTCATGCAACTTAGGATTCTTAAATTGAATAAACATTATAAGCATTCGATAATTCATGAGTGCTTCTTAAGGTCAAAATAGTATATAATCTAATAAATCCTGAGGTTCCTAAACATATTGTTGGAGTTGTATTGGCAAAGAATGAGAACAAAATATTGGAGGAAATAGTTAAAAGATTTAAAGATTAAATATTATTTATTTCAAGCTATTGATTGTGTTGTGCTTGAAACGATTTTAAAAAAAGGACATCGAAAGAGATACGAAATTCCTTAAAACATAAATGGTAGGACACTATTAGAGTGAAGTGAAAACATAACTTCAAGCTTTATGACATGGTTGAGAGATTTTGAAAATAAAGAATAAGGAATCAATTAATGATTATTTTCTTGAACTCTCACAATTATAAATAAGATGAGGATGTATGGTGAACAAATGTCTAATCTCTTTGTTATATGAAAGATATTTTGCTCAATGACTTTTAAGTACAATTATGTTATGTGTTATATTGAAGAAACTCGTGATTTGGATTCCATGACTATAGATAAGCTCAAAAACAACTATGGGTACATGAACAATGAATGAATGAATGGTCACAAATCATGAATGGTCACAAATCATATGAAGAGCAAGTGTTAAAGGTTGTACAAGATGAGACAAGTGTTGGACATGGTCATGGAAGAGGTGGTTGTTGAAGTGGGAGCTACACGATGAAGAGGTAAAGGCAAATGAGGTAGACAACTAGTAGACAAGGCAACAATAAAGTGTTATTAGATTTTAGACATTTCCAATATGAATGCCCAAAGAAACCACAAGACAGTAAAACACATTATGTTGAGGCTGGCGAGGAAGCAATATTGCTCATGGCACAACTTTCATAAGATGGAGATTAGATATGCAAGTAAAAAAGATTGTTGATAATTCCTTTTCTAATGAATTTAAATTAGGGAATAATTATGTACTAAAGGTGACTGGAAAGGGTAATGTTAGACTTTTGATTAATGGAGTAATGCATTTGGTTAATGATGTATCTTATGTGTTTGAGTTGATAAAATAATTTACTCAATGTGAGGCAATTTCAGGAGAGAGAATTGATCGTTGGAATGAACTAATACAAGTGTATAGTGTTTCAAGAAAAGGGTCCTATTTTTTAAACCTTTGTGACCATTAATCACATATTTGCTATTTGTGTATAATCTAGAGTTTCAAAGTCTTGTTTACAAGTCAATTTACTACTACGTACCAACTCAAGTTTGACACTCTATTTGTGTAAAAAATACTTTATTTACTACACGAACAATTTTAAAAAATATATATATTTAAAATTTAAATTTTCAAATCCTCATTAACAATTAAGTGTGTATTAGAAATTTAGAATCTCATCCAACATACACGAAAATCTTGTCCAATATAGAACAAACCAAACCTTGGGTTTCATCAAATTTTGGAGGTACATGCAGCCCCTTGATTTGCTACCCTTGGTTTTCCTTTGCTTACTATTATTTAGTTAATCCAACATCAAAACGTATGTTAAAAAAACATAGATTAAAAAATTAAATAAAATTAAGCCATGCATTACACGCAGATCACATAGTAATCCAACCCAATCCCTATTTTATAATAAACACTCTTTGTCATTTCCTTTGACTAAATACAGTGTACATTAACAACGACAATAATTGTTATTTAATAACTTAATTAGATATATTATGTCACATATTATTATCATTATGGACTAAAATTTCTGATTTAAAAATTTTCTAAACAATTTAAAAGATGACATTTTAATTAAACAATCTTTTAATTTAACCTAACTAATTTAATTAATAGATTTTAAACCAAATATAATGAGAACCATAAACCCTTTTGAACCCATTTAATAATTATTACCAAATTTCCATATTGATGGCGACGGGTACCAATTAACTTATGAAAATTAAATTAATGATAAGATTTTGTTTATGAGTAATTAATTCCACAGTTGAGAGTGAACCACCACGAGTCGAAATAAAAATCAAAGTCATGGTGTTTGAACAAAAAATAAAACGCCAGATCACACTTTCTAATATTCTTCACTATAATTTATAAATAAACTTTCATTAAGAAGATGATTTAAGGTCATGTAATGAATCTTGCCTAAAGTCTTATTTAGTATTAAAAACACGTTATGGATACTTTTATGTTAAAATATATATCCAAGTATCCAAATTCTAATTAAGAAAGTGAGTTACAGTTGAGACATTTAATTAAAATTGTCATTTATGACAATGAGAAACTTGTGATTTGATGTGAGTTAGGTTGATTTTAATATTCTAATACACTTTACAGAGTCAAACAATTTTAGAAATTTAAATGATACATAAAATCGAAAGATTAACAATACCTCTAATAAAAATGAATACCTAATATTAATTTCATAAAAAAAAAGTTTAAAAATACAACTCAGTCTTTCCCTTAATCATCTTCTCCATATCCCAACGTCACAGATAATCTATTTACAAAAATGGAAATTAAAAAGCAATTTATCCATCACTAAAATTTCATATTATTAACCCTTTCAGCTTCAGCAAACATATTATTGTGCAAATTAGAAAGACCCAATACAAAGGAAGGAAAGGAGTGCACGCAAATTCGCGGGAAAACTTTCTCTTAAGCTACCGTCACAAAATGTTTCATTATTTTTAGGATAATAATAAATTTGGTATATACTTTTTTTTATTTTGGTAATGAAAATCTTTTAAAATACACTATTTTTTATTTAAAATTTATTATAAATCATAAATTAAGAGTTTTTTTTTGTTTTGTTTTTATTTTATTTTTATAAATAAACGTGGAATCCACCAAATTTTTATAATTCATCGTAAATTGTGATTTACAGCAAAAGTTCTCTTATTTTTAATAGGACAAAATTTAAATACTATTTTTTAGGTGTGGTTATTATTATCTTATTATGTATTTATATTTAATGTAAGTTTTATTAATATATTTTATGTATATTATTAAAGTAAAATTCTAATTTTGATTGAAAAATAATATTAACTGTATTTTAAAAATTATAATTAAATTTTATTCTTTTAAATATTGTCTTAAATTTGTTTCATTAATTTTATTAATATTTAGCTCATGTAATACTTAAAATTAATATTTATTGTATATAAAAAAAGTCATAATTAATTAATTTTAAATATATAAATTAAATTATAATTAAGACTTATTGGTTATTCAGTTTATTTGATTTAACATGTTGAATGTTGAATGAGTATCGTAAACCTCCTTAATATAATAAAGTTGTTGTGCTACGAGGGGGTTACCACACATATACACATGTCTCCACATTGGTGAGATAATGGAGACAAGAGTGTAGCTATGATACCACTTGTTACGCACTAGAGGGGGTACCATACATATACACATGACTCTACATTGGTGAGATAAGGGAGACAAGTGTGTAGCTATGATAGCACTTGTTACGCACTAGAGGGGGTACCATACATATACACATGACTCTACATTGGTGAGATAAGGGAGACAAGTGTGTAGCTATGATAGCACTTGTTACGCACTAGAGGGGGTACCATACATATACACATGACTCTACATTGGTGAGATAAGGGAGACAAGTGTGTAGCTATGATAGCACTTGTTACGCACTAGAGGGGGTACCATACATATACACATGACTCTACATTGGTGAGATAAGGGAGACAAGTGTGTAGCTATGATAGCACTTGTTACGCACTAGAGGGGGTACCATACATATACACATGACTCTACATTGGTGAGATAAGGGAGACAAGTGTGTAGCTATGATAGCACTTGTTACGCACTAGAGGGGGTACCATACATATACACATGACTCTACATTGGTGAGATAAGGGAGACAAGTGTGTAGCTATGATAGCACTTGTTACGCACTAGAGGGGGTACCATACATATACACATGACTCTACATTGGTGAGATAAGGGAGACAAGTGTGTAGCTATGATAGCACTTGTTACGCACTAGAGGGGGTACCATACATATACACATGACTCTACATTGGTGAGATAAGGGAGACAAGTGTGTAGCTATGATAGCACTTGTTACGCACTAGAGGGGGTACCATACATATACACATGACTCTACATTGGTGAGATAATGGAGACAAGTGTGTAGCTATGATAGCACTTGTTACGCACTAGAGGGGTTACCATACATATATACACATGTCTCCACATGTGGTGATATATTGTCCGCTTTGGACCTAAGCTCTCACGGTTTTGCTTTTGGACACCACCCAAAAGACCTCTCAACCAATGAAGACAAGTGTGTGTATATAAACTCATGTCCATCCTCTTGTTTGAACGATGTGGAACTTTACTTGCATCCCAATAAAAGTAATAGTAACATTACATGCATAACAAAAATTGTAATACTAGGTGTATATTTTTGTGTGTTTCAATGTCTATCTCTTTATTTATTATATAAAAAAATATTATTAATGACAGAGAGAAATAAATAAAAGAATATTTAATTTTTTTCATTCATATTAAATATTTCTAACATCATACTTATTTATTATTTAATATCTATATTTATTATAAAAAAGATATATCTTGACAATCATTTCTTTAGTCTGAATTATTATATTTTTATAATATAAAAAAATATTTTTTATATTATTTTAAAATAATTATTTATTATTTTTAAATATTTATTTATATATAATTATTAGTTGCACGAAATTACTCAGTCTTATAGTGTAATTATAATTATTTTGTGATAGACAATTCATACACCAAAACAAGAGTAATAAAAAAAAAGAAGAAAGAAGAGTTGTTATGTTGAATATACAGCTAATTTGATGGCACAGTGCCGTTGTAAACAACGAGCCTCGTGCATCGCATGCCCTATAAAATGCGCACCTCTCATTCCACTTCCGTGTCAGCAACTGAAACCGTTCCAAATTTCTCTGCCAGCGAGGCAGAGAGAGAAACAAGAGCGAGAGAGAACGAGCACGTCTTCCTCCGCCGCCTCTGCCGCCACCGTTTCTTTTCTCCGGCGAGGTTTCTCCGATTCGCTTTCCGAAATGGTGGATCCCTACGTCCTCGGCTGGATTCTGTGCTCCGTTCTCACTCTCTTCGCGCTCCACAGTTTGGCTTTCCGCGGAACCAGCCGCCGCGCTTCGCCGGAGAACAGGAACGACTTCTCGGAGACCGTCACCACCACCGCCGGAGAATGCAGATCGGGAAACCGCAACAGCGACGCTGACGTCATCATTGTCGGTGCCGGCGTCGCCGGCGCTGCTCTGGCGTACACTCTCGGCAAGGTAGTTTTCATCTAAACGCGCGATTCGTTGTTGTTGAACGCGTTCCTCTTGCATGTTGCTGTTCGCGTTTTGTTTTTATGTGTTGAGATTCTCATGAGACGTGCCGTTATCATAGAAATTATTTGTCGTTGATTTTTCTCCTGTTTTCATTTTTCGAGTATTTGAATTTATTTGAGATGATAGGACGTTAGGAAAAATAAGTTTTAAACCGTGAAAGTAAAGCATGTTCTGTCTGTTGAGAAAAAGAAAACGACGACGTTGCAGTTTGTTGTTGACGTTGGTGACTTGCTTGTAGCATAGTTACGTATAATTGAGCACTTTAAATTTTGCATTGAGTTTTGAGTTTTTCTCTTCTAAACAGATGAAGATATAACATGTTCAGATTTAGAACTAACAAAATAATAAGTGTTTTTTTTTTTTTTTCCCCTAATAAATATAATATATTAAAGGGAAGGGAGTCAAAATTTAATGTGAAATATTATTTCGTTAATATCTGGGTACCGTACAGCCTATTATTTCCATGGGTATGATATAATTATTTGTGAAGTACAAGATCTAGATGTAGTTTCTTAGGTATATTTTTTTGTCAGAATCGAAGATTTATTTTGAAAAATTATGGTAATAATCCTTTGTGTTAAAGGTCAACATAGATTAACCTGGTAAAACACCAATTGTAATTTGAGAACAACGCCTATGAAACTTGTATCTAAGTTGTCCTTTGCAGAAAGCTAGAGAATAATAATTTTCAGTTGTGTACATATTATTTAATTAAGTTTAGGGTCAGTTTACTCATTTCTGCTCCTTAACTGAGTCCAATACCAATAGTGTCCTGCAATCCATGTAACCAGCTTCACCTAGTAGGATGAGTTTTTATTGTTGTTTACTTGTTTCTGTGACTGAAACCTCATGGAATTGTGTTTTTAACTTTCACTTTATGGCATCTTAGATTTAAGAACGAAACCACAAGATCTCAATTTCTAAGGGAATTCGCCATATAATTGACGAATCTGTTAACATTCTTTGCATGCCTGGCCTTGTTGTTATCGTCATACTAATACTATTTAGTTATACACTTATACTGTATTACTGTCTGCTAAGACCACATATGAGAATTGAACTTAATTTTGGGTTATTCGGCACTCACCATTAAATTGTTTGTGTTGTGTTTTTGATCAATGAGATTCAGGACATACATATTTTTGAGATTTTTTTAATTATGGACTGCATGGTAGGTTGAGTACTGTTTTCCGTTAAAGATGAGTGCTAACTACATAATTGTTAAGCATTATAGGATGGACGTCGAGTACATGTCATTGAAAGAGATCTGAGTGAACCTGACCGAATTGTTGGAGAATTGCTACAACCCGGGGGATATCTCAAATTAATTGAGCTTGGACTTGAAGGTAGTGTAAATTCAACGTGTATACCACTTATTGTACTTGTATATTGTGGTTGATCATGGGTGCTGGAGATTCTCTCTAGAATTTTGTCTAAACATCTATAACGACTACTGAATAACCTGTTTTGTGTTTAACTGCAGATTGTGTGGACAAAATTGATGCTCAACAAGTGTTTGGCTATGCCCTTTTCAAGGATGGGAAGCATACTCGTCTCTCTTATCCCTTGGAGAAGTTTCACTCAGATATCTCTGGGAGAAGCTTTCACAATGGGCGCTTTATTCAGAGGATGCGGGAGAAGGCCGCCTCACTTACCAAGTATTGTTTTCTTCCTTTGTGGATATTTACTTTGTAGTGTATATGTTTGTATAACCTTTCATTTAATACTTCTTGTTTGTCATATATAAAAAAGAGATAAGACATTAGAAATTGCATGTTACTGAGTTGCAACTGCCTATGATTCTACCTCAGTTTTTATGTTTCGCATTGATGCCATTTAAATTGATTTGGTTAGATATTTTAATCATCTTACATGAACCAAAGTAATTTGATTGGTAGTTGTTATGCTATTGGCTCCTGTTTAGGGACAGCCAATTAATATAATTTATCACAATTCTATCAGAATTCAGAAATCAGATGAGAATTATAAATGTCATTTTAGTTATTCAATTGAGCTAGAGGTATTTATTTGTTATGTCATATTCACATGATGCTTTTCTATTTAAATATTCTGCAGTGTACGATTGGAGCAAGGAACAGTCACTTCCCTAGTTGAAGAGAAGGGTGCAATTAAAGGTGTGCAATATAAGTCCAAAGATGGTCAGGCATTGACAGCGTATGCACCACTTACCATTGTTTGTGATGGTTGCTTCTCAAACTTACGTCGTTCTCTTTGTAATCCTAAGGTGAGAATTCCTTCAGCTTAATTCTGTGATGGAGTTTCCAATACCAAATCAGTTAACTTCTTCCTATAAACTAACCGACAACCATACATTTTTTCTATAAATTTTTTGGTGTAATTTATTCAGTTTTTTTTTGTTTATATTATTCCGAGTGGTAAAATTCTGAATTAGTAATATTTTATAATGCTGTACTTGCAGGTAGATGTTCCCTCATGTTTTGTTGGTTTAGTTTTAGAAAACTGTGAACTTCCATGTGCCAATCATGGCCACGTTATTCTGGGAGATCCTTCCCCAATCCTATTCTATCCTATAAGCAGTACAGAGGTTCGCTGTCTGGTCGATGTACCTGGTCAGAAGGTTCCTTCTATTTCAAACGGTGAAATGGAAAAGTATTTGAAGACAACAGTGGCTCCCCAGGTAAGCTCAAAGTTCAATAATTTATTTTTTAATCTTGGTATGTTGTTAACCTTTCATTCAATGTAGAATCCTGTTCACATTCACATTTATTGGTCTCTTAGATAACGATGAAGTGGCAAATTATTGCAGATTCCCCCCCAGCTTTATGATTCTTTCATAGCTGCTGTGGACAAAGGCAACATAAGGACAATGCCAAACAGAAGCATGCCAGCAGATCCTCATCCTACACCTGGAGCCCTTCTGATGGGAGATGCATTCAACATGCGGCATCCACTAACAGGGGGTGGAATGACTGTAGCATTGTCTGATATTGTGGTGCTGAGAAATCTTCTAAGACCCTTGTCTGACCTGAATGACGCACCCACACTCTGCAAATACCTCGAATCGTTTTATACCTTGCGTAAGGTAATGAAACGAAATGTTAGATTTTCCTATTATGAAACGAAGCAGAACTTCACTGAACCGTTCATCAAAGCTTATAAACTAATGTGAACCTTTACTTTGCAGCCTGTGGCATCTACCATAAATACACTGGCAGGGGCTCTTTATAAAGTTTTTTGTGCATCCCCTGATCAGGCGAGGAAGGAAATGCGCCAAGCTTGCTTTGATTATCTGAGCCTTGGAGGCCTATTCTCGGAAGGACCAGTTTCTCTACTTTCTGGATTAAACCCTCGTCCCTTGAGCTTGGTTCTCCATTTTTTCGCTGTTGCAATATTTGGTGTTGGACGTTTATTGTTACCATTTCCTTCACCTAAGCGAGTATGGATTGGAGCCCGATTAATCTCTGTAAGTATTATTATTCTACTTGTTTTGTGTCTGAATAGACCAAGGTCTTAAAACCAAAATATTGTTTGTTTTGTTTAGGGTGCATCTGCAATCATCTTGCCAATAATTAAGGCTGAAGGGATTCGTCAAATGTTTTTCCCTGCCACTGTTCCAGCTTATTACAGAAGTCCCCCGGTGTCACAATAGCGAGTGAATGCATTGCGATGAAATGAAGGTACTCTCAAGATGAGCTTTCTGTAAACATGTTGGCTCCTTTAGTGTGTGTGTATTCTTTGTAGTCTGTAACTCATACAATGTTGTTATAAGTAGAGCATTGAGCAAATTTGTTTAATTGTCATTGTCATTGTCAAATTAAATGCAGCAAAATGCTGAACCATACGAATGTCAGAAAACTTATTTTACCATATCAGTTGTATTAGTATATGCACTTCTATTTTCTGTCCTGTCCTGCAAACGGGTAAAAAATAGGATGGACAGAATGAAAATAAGTAAGATTCGAAATGAGACGTGAAAAATTAAAAAGGAGTGGATCTTATTTATTTATTTATCTCTTTTTATTTTTCTTCAATCAAACAATTAAAATTTTAGTCTATTTCTTATTTATTTCTATTCACTTTAATTTTTTTCAACCATTTTTTTACATATTTCTTTTCTCTCAATCAAACACACTCAATGTTTGAAACAGACTATTGCTTTACTTATTAGTGTCGTAACTATTGTTTTTCTTTTTTAGAGTATTGCTAAGTTATAATTTCCAAGATGTTATTCCCTGTCTAAATTATTGAAATTAAAGCACGGTGTAAAGAAATGCTTAACATGATCTATACATTACTTTTTGGAAAATATTATTTTTCGACATTCTTCTGTTTTTTAAGAAAAAAATTGTGAAATGAACTAGTTGTCTGAGACAACAAACTATATGTATGAACAGTTTTTTTTTTTTTTAAAATAATAAGCTGTTTTTCTGAATTTGAAAATTTGAAGCTAATGATGATTTCTAGAGTTCTTTTTCTTTGAAGTTGATTTTTATCATATCTAAACTAAATTAAATATTTTAAAATCTTTTTTTAATAAATTCATGTAAAATGTAATTTTATTTATTTTTATTATAATCAATTATATAAATAATTCATTTTTTTTTATAGTTTTTTCAAATACACTCCTAGTCTAAAATTATCACATATTTTAATATTTATGATTACAAGAGTAATTATGAAGTAAGACATTATTATATATATATATATATATATATATATATATATATATATCTAAAATTTTAAATGCAATCCTAACATAAATTTTATCATTAAAATAATAAAAACATAAGTAGAAGTTATCTTTAGTTAAAGTGCTACTCTGCACTGTTTATGTTATATATATATATATATATATATATATAATATTTATTATTTATTAATAATAAAACTTGAAATTTGTGAAGCACTAATAAATTTATAATTAACAAAATAGTCACAATAAAACATCCACAATTTAATTTTAGATTTGAAGGAACACTTCCTAAAAGAAAATCTTAAAACAAAATGTTTTTATTAATAAGTGTGGAAAGTAAGTTTTTGTTTTTTGTTTGATAAGGATTTTTTCTCATCAAGTTGACCTTAAACTCTTATAAGAAAGAGTGGTATGTTTAAAATGAAGATTGAAGCAAGAGTTTAAATATTTGAGCTTGTTATACATATTTGATTTTACAAGTATTTTTTTATATCAGAAGTGAAAACTAGTCTATAAACATAATTAATATAAAATTTAAATCTGATTTTTTTTTTTTGTAAAACACATGTATTCTCTATTAAAAGTAATCTAATTTAAATTAAGTAGAATTATTATCAACAATAAAACTTTCTAATTGAATAATTAACATATCTATATAGTAAAAGCTCAAACTTAAATAAAGTAACTCCTTACCGATTAATTCGCATGCTCGCCAATCATATTAAAGTTATTAAAATATTATCTTGTATTGGTGTGCTATGTATATAGACACTATTCAACTGGTATTCAAAACACTATTCATATCCTTCCAATTTCTTGCATTAGTTTGTTCTTGTCCTACAATTTGATCTAATTAGATGTGAAATCACATCGTGGGATTTATTAAGGACCTGTGACTTGACCCCATAATAGATTTTAATTTGAAAAATGATACATCATCCGAAATTACGTTTCAAAATTCATTTTAATCATTAAAACATTAATTTTAATTATAAAATATTAAATTAAATAATTATTTTATAATAAATTTATTAAAAAATATTAATATTTTTTAATAAATTTATTATAAAATATCAATATTTCAATGTTTCAGGATGATTCGAAGGGAGGATATAAGAATTCTCCTTTAATTTATAAGCCATGCTACAGTTGAAATATTAAAATATTAATATTTTTTAATAAATTTATTATAAAATAATTATTGAATTTAATATTTTACAATTTAAATTAATATTTTAATTATTCAGAATGATTTCAGAACATATTTTCAGACAGTTTATCATTTCCCTTAATTTATGAAAAATTCTAGATCCTCCGATATGATACTCCGAAACTTATTCTGAATCCTTACAAAAATAATTTAAATTATAAAATATTAAATTAAATAATTGTTTTATAATAAATTTAATAAAAAGTATGAATATTTTTAAACATTGGAACGCTGTTTCGATTACTTTTTCAGAGCATATAGCAATTCCCTTAATTTATTTATGAGAAGAGAAATGCTATTTCCCTCCGAACGAACGAAGTTGGCCGAAAATTTCTTCGAACCATAAAGAAGTTGACACGTGTCAACTGTTGACAATAAATAACAAAATATTCATCGATATTAAAATTTGAAAGTTTGATCTCTTTCCAAACTTACCCCTCCTTCCACACTCCATTCAACCAAAACAAGAATAAGCACAAAATGGTGCAAACAAAGAAGAAATACTGAAATGGGAAAAAAGGAAACACAAAGACGACACTTCTTTAGTCTCAACCTACGCCATGTATTAGAGCATCACAAACCGATGAGAGGGTGGAGTCATATGTAAAGGGGTAAGTTTGGAAAAGTGTTAAAATTTTAAAATGATAAATTAAATGATATTTTATAAATGAATTACTCGACATATGTCAACTTCTTATCTTTCGGAGAAATTTCCAGCCAACTTCGTTCGGAGGGAGTAGCATTAAGCTTTATTTATTTTTACGATTTTCAAAAACTTATATTGGTCAAAAAGGTCATGTTTTAAATTAAGATTGGAAGAACTTATTTATAGTTTTTTTTAGACTTAATGACGAACGGTTGTACAAGTATTTAGTCCTTTAATTCTTTTCAAAAATCATTAACTATATCTATTCCAAACAAAATAAATGCTTTTCATTTTGTTAAACATTATTTTACTTTATTTTTCTTAATTGACAAATCCTATATTTGATAGAGATATTCTTTAATAATAATCAATTCATACATATTAGATGCAACGCTTTTAAGAGCTAATACTATAATTTTTATTTAATTCAATTTTTTTTATTTACCTTATTTATTTATAAATTAAATTTTAATATTTTAAAATATATCCTCAATAATTAAAAAAATCTTGTATTTATAAATTATTTATCTCAAATCTTAAATATAATTTATAAATTTAAAAATATTTATTTATACAAATATTAAATATAACTTATATATATATAATTTAGTTGTATATAATAAACATTTTGTCAGTGAAATGCAAATACTAAATACTAGTAAAAAAATATGTTCAACTTTGGCCCATTAGACAAGCCCTTATTTTATGTGAGGTGGATGTTTTTTTGTTACTCCCTCTCTCATAAAGGCCTATTAATCTTTAACTTTAATTATATAAATTGTCTCTTAATATATCAATTTTCACCTAATTTAAAATCAATAAATCATTAATTTTAATTGAATATACTATTTCTTAATAAATGGATTCTCACTTAATTTAATTCATGCTCTTAAATTAACAAAGTGAGTCTCAGTCTCTCTGAGACACTAGACACATACGGGGTCGTCATTTTCTCTTAACCGGTGCCATAAGGACCTAAGCCGAATCTAACTCGAGAATAACTGATAACTACTCCACATTTAATTTTCCGTGAAACCCAAGCTGTTTCCCGAGAAGTTCAAAATGAGGGCTATAACCCATCTCAATTGTTCAGAAAAAGACCAAGGGTGAGTGGGAGAGCTTTTTATTACTTCTTCCATGACATAAATACTTGTGTAAGTATTTGGAAGACCTCATGAAAATAGCTCAAAGATAGATCACAAGCTGTTTTCAGCAAGTTTTGTAAGATGACTTGTGAAAACAACTTCAACAGCAAGTTTTGTAAGATGACTTGTGAAAACAACTTCAACTTGTATGAAAACAGGTTAACACTATTGCTCCCCTTCGATTTCCATAAGAGCTTATGTACGCTATTTATCCAAATGCACTTCAGTGCAGTCGGTGGTTCTTGTATCTAGGAGCCGACAGATGAACGTCTCTATTACTCCTATATATAGCACACATTGTGATTAGAAAAATAAATTTGGTATGAAAAGACACCGGGGATTGGGTTACGCACTTAATTTGTGATTCGGCGTTCCTGCCTCTTTGTATCTATATAGATATATAAAGGGGATATTCTTTTGGATAACTACCTTAGTCTCTATTTTTTTTTTCCATTATACCTTTTTATTTTAAAAAATTAAAAAAAAGTATTTTTTATTCAAATTAAAAAAAATATTTTTTATTCAAATTAAAAAAAAATATTTTTTATTCAAATTAAAAAAAATATTTTTTTAATCAAATTTAAAAACTTGAAACTAATAAATTTATACTTCTATACTAATATATAAAGGAGATATCACTTTCAATAACTATTTTGGTTTCAATTTTTATATGGACCATTTTATTATTTGTTTATTTTTCAACAACTACCTTTTTTATGAGCAATTTCTTATTTTTATTAATTTATTTTTTTCTTTTAATATAATGCAGGCACGGAGTGCCTTTTTCCGGCTAGTATTAATAAAAAAGTTTGACAAGTTTTGTAGAACAAGTTTACAGAAGAATTTATCTGAGAAGTCTCAACAGTGTTCAGCAAATGAACTAACTGTGTAAAAGTAAACACCCCGGAATCTACTTAAACCACCTTAAAATATGTATCTGTTCAATCCATTTCCCAGAAAAAAAATTCAATACATCCAGGGATAACAGCTTTATATACAACAAATCAACACCATTATTAGTTTATGATGAGATAATTACCCAAAATTTACTAGCAGCAGAATAACATTTTAGCTGGATGATAATTCTATTGAATGAAGTTAAAGAGGACCTTTAATGATTAACCTCACCTCTTCAAGGTTACAGGATTGTCGGGCAGAGTTGGGCAATTAGCCAATTACAGATTCTGGTTCTTTCTTTCCTGTTGTATGGCCTCATATGAACAAATTACTTCTTTGAACTTGGCCTCAGAAGCTTCTGTCACATTTACACATCCAAGAATCAATAATGCGATGGTTTGAGATAATAAGATCTTAATTATAACTATTAATTAGAAAAGGCCTACCTCTATTATCCTGGTTCTGATCAGGATGATACTGCTTTGCCTTGGTCCTAAATGCTGTCTATGGAAGATATAAGAAAAGTTATAAAATGAGACTAAGACCTTATAAAGCAATATATATATATATATATAACAAAATAAGCAAGTAACATATAATATGTCCAAAACCAACGTATTTTGGACAAGTTATACTTGCTGATAACCTATTTTTATTGAAAAAGTTATACTTAGTTTATAGATTAGTTGTTTGCCCGATCATAGTTTGAATATATGTGATACAAACTCCTTTATTCAATTTAGCTTTCCGAAGGAATTTTGGCAACTTATCATAGGGTTTTGCTAGGTCAATCACAATTACATGTTAATAAAAATAGATCACACTCTATAGGGAGGCCAACCAAAATACTTAATAAAATATAAACGAAAATTATGGCAGTCTTATAATTTTACTTGTGCACAAACCATAATGACATTATTTTTCACATGGTTTCGCTAATTTCAACTAAATAATTACGAAAATAGTTATTTTAATAAATAAGAATGGTGCTAAACCTATCACCCATCAAATAATATCAAGTTATCAACCTAAGTGTCAATCATAGCCATTTCTTACATATCACAGAGGCTAATAAGAAAAATATATAAAAGACTCACCACCATAATTCATAAATCACTCTATCAATACAGATGTGAGCAATATAGTTTACAAAGCATACAGTAATATGCAGAGAGATAATAATAATAAAATGAAAAATTACCTTAATCTCCGCATCTGTATATGGAGCTGTTCTAAACCTGAGATTCATAGAAAATAAACCTTTAATGGCTAATCATGAATGCAAAATAGACACGGTATTGCTAACTTATTATGTAGATGTTACATGATTCATGCATGGTTTTCCATTCACAAATAATGGCCTGTCAGCTATCAATAGATACCAAAATCGCATCCTTTTTTTATTTGGTCATAATTACATACTGCTCCAAAAGAGATATGTTATTACTTATTACTGATCGTCCTGATGTATATAATATCTTCAAATACAAAATCAACATGATTCTCATATTTAAACAAATATGAACTGCACTATTGTGTACTCTCTCATGTCATATAAGTAAGTGCAGTATTTTCCACCAAATCACACCTTACACAATCTTGTATCTAATATTACAGAGGTGAAGTTTCAAGCCTATCACTATATGCTGTAGGTGATTTAATATAAAACATGACAAAGACTTTACCTTAAGAATTATGTGATTAATATATAGCATATCAAATAAAGAATTTAATTTTGATAAATTACAATAACACAAGTGCTGGATCATTATAGAAGCTAGGGTTTCACATGTAGAAACTTTTAATAATTTTTCAACCAAGCGCAAGGGACTGTGGATTGTTTAAATCAAAAAGATCAAAATTTAATCATTTTGAATTTCATTGAATAGCTGAAAATATGGAACATATTCTAAAATTATTACAGCATTATGTTAGACCCAAATCTTTTTTCCTAAAAAGACAAAAAGGGGCTATCAGGTGATAAACAACAGGCCAAAAGGGTAGTTAGTTAGGTTCTGAGGAGGGAAAGATGTGTTGAATGATGAGGATGCTGAGCTGAAAGAAAGACAAAGTAGGGAATCCTAATATAATGAATGC